GCAATGAAACCTGGAAGCTGATTGGTTCTATGCAGAGCTGCCCCAGATTGTGTATGCTCCAGTTTTAGTAAATAATCCTCACTGTGTCAGGTTTTTTTTAAAGCATATATAACTACCAACAGATCTATGTCCCCACTTATAGACGATTCTATAGTGTCCCAGGAACAGAAAGGGGGGAGATTTACTAAAACTGGAGAGTGCAAAATCTGCATAGGAACCAATCAGTTTAAAGGTTTTATTGCCAAAGCTTAACTGAACAAACTGAAGTTAGAAGCTGATTGGCTGCCATGCACAGCTGCACCAGATTTTGCACTCTCCCGGTTTGATCAAATGAACCCCAAAGTGTCCACAGAAAATTTCTCAAAATACAAATCTTAAACCTCCAGGTATTAAACCTCCAGGACATCTGCCTGTGTATGGTGTGCCATCGTTCAATAAGTCCACCCAAAATGAGACTTTGCTGGGTGGAAAATTACTGAAAATACCGATTCTACCGATTATTGCTTTCTGTCATCGGCCACGTGTCAGGAGAGAGTAGATACAAATCCAACAGAGCTTTCTTAAATAACCGATCTACCTAAAATCGCACCTTCCTTCAGACCTCTGTCCTGTATCTGTGGGTGGTAAATTAGGCGATCAGCAAGTTAAAGGTTCCAGAGCTGGATAGATGGATCAATAGATAGATGGACAGATAGATAGATAGATAGATAGATAGATAGATAGATAGATAGATAGATAGATAGATAGATAGATCGATCGATCGATCTGAGATAGATAGATAGATAGATAGATAGATAGATAGATAGATAGATCTGGGATAGATAGATAGATAGATAGATAGATAGATAGATAGATAGATAGATAGATAGATAGATATTTATAATTACCATCCATGTATCAGTAAACAGTCAATTAAGCGATCAGCATGTTAAAGACTCCAGAGGTGGATAGATGGATCAATAGATAGACAGCTCAATATATGACCAGATATATAGATATATAGATGGGGCAGATAGATAGATATATGGACAGATAAATTGATAACTATCTATCCATCTATTCTATTTATCTATCTATCTATTTATCTATCTATCTATTTATCTATCTATCTATTTATCTATCTCAGATCTAACTACCGGTTATACATATTGTATATACACAACTACAATATTTCAAATATACTAATATATATATATATATATATATTATATTTTCTCATAGTGAAGTATTGGGTAGAGAAAAAAAACTTGGGGGGGGAGGATTACAACCCCTCTATTAAAATTAAATTTCGGCCAGGTGGATCAATAGCTACATAGATCAATTACTAAACAGAAAGATAAACAGATCATACCTTGTATACATATACAGTCCCACTATTAGTTGTATATATAGTTCTACTTTTCTACTTTCTCTGTATGGGAAGTATTGTGTATAATAAAACCTTTGGTGGAAGGGGTAGGGGTGTAGTAAGCCTCCATTGCATTCAGGCCACCCACATAAAATAAGTTCCACCGAGGCAGCCAAATGGCCGAGATGTCACCTTTGTCAATACAATTCACAGGGAACTTTTCTCACATGTAAATCCTCCCCGACCAGAACACAAATCACTTATGAAGCAGATTTTCCACAGAGGTAATAAATTAGATTGACCTGCAGCTGAGAACAAAACAATAGATAGAAAACAAATTAGCTGAGCAGACCGTACAAGGCTGCGACAAATTAGCGCAGGTTTTCCCCAGCAGCGCCCATGTCACAGGTCAGTGTGAGGGCGATAATAAAATTATTAGAAGCGACCGACACCAGCACCGACCCCCGCACACAGCCAGGATCTCCTCCCTAATCACAGTTTGGTCTGCAGCAAAAATAAACAGCCCCGCAGCAGCACTTGACATTTTTTTACAACTTTTTTTTCCTTTTAAATAGTATTTTTTCTTTTTTCTGCGGTACATTTCAAGAGCGCAAATATGCCAATGTTTGGCCATCAATTATAGATGACCACAAGCAGCCCAGTATACCTCCCTGTGACTGGCTGCATTAATATTAATTCCTCCCGAATACTGCACGACTTCCAGGTTCACGGGAGGGGGGGGGGGGGGGTATAGGGTTGTCTTTTTATACAAAAGTAATATATATATATAGTAAATAAATACAAACATAATAAAACGAATAGCGAAAGAAAAATAAATAGAATACAGTATGTATATACAGTATGACAGCAACTGTACATACTAGCAACACTAGAGAGAGAAAAAAGAAAAGAAAAAAGAAAAGAAAGAAAATACATATTATATATATTATAATAATGTTAAATATATAGAGTAACACTATCTCTCTCTCTCTCCCTCTCTCATATATATATATATATATATTTAAAGGAAGAAAGATAGGCAAATGTATATTATATAAGTTTATATTATAAATATATGCATCATTTTTTATATATATATATATATATATATATATATATATATATATATATATATCACTCTCTGTTTTTGTCTATCTATCCATCAAAGAGAGATAGAAAGATAGATAGGTAAAAGAGCAGAGAGAAAAAAGAAAGAAAGAAAAAAAAAAAGAAAGAAAGGAAAGGAAGGGAAGGGAAGGGAAGAGAAGAAGAAGAGAAAAGAAGAAAGAAAGAGAAGAGAAAAGAAAAGAAAGAAAGAAAGAAAGAAAGAAAGAAAGAAAGAAAGAAAGATAAAAAGAAAGAAAGAAAGAAAAGAGAAAGAAAGAAAGGCAAATACATGTATTATAATTATATGTTTTATATAATATATAACACTCTGTTCATCTATCTATTGATCGGTCTAGCTCTCTCTCTCTCATATATATATATTTTGAAAGAGAGATAAATATATAAATAATAGATAGATAGATAGATAGATAGATAGATAGACACATACGGAAAAAGAAAGAAAGAAAGAAAAGAAAGAAAGAAAGAAAGAAAGAAAAAAAGAAAGAAAAAGAAAGAAAGGAAAGAAAGAAAGAAAAAGAAAAAGAAAAAAAAAGAAAAAAAAGGAAGACCATAACTGGATAAAAGATAGAGAGATAGATAGAAAGATAGATAGATAGATAGATAGATAGATAGATATAGATAGAATAATAGATAGATAGATAGATAGATAGATAGATAGATAGATAGATAGATTAGATGGATACGATATGATAGATATAGATAGATAGATAGATAGATAGATAGATAGATAGATAGATAGATAGATAGAATTCTGACAGGTCCATTTTGCAAATCATAACCATAATAAATGTAAACCCTATATCTTTGCTCGCATCACAAACTAATAATAACTAACAAACTTTAAAAAAATATATAAATATTTAACAGAAATTTCAAAAAGTAAAAAAAAAACAGACACCCTGTACCCACAATAGCTGTAACACAACAAGTGTTTATTAAATGAAAAAAAAGACAAAAAGACACAAACAGTCAGGAATGGTCAGTCTCAGGACAGCAGAATTCAAGATACAGCAACAGACGAGAGAAATAAACCATCAATTCAACAAGAGGGGAAAAAATAAATTATATTCTTAATTTTAATAAGAAAAAGGGCATAAACTGGACGAAATATCAGTTATTATAGACGAGTCTGAATAAAACTATTTTTAGATAATTTTTGGAAAATAAAAACAATTAAAAAAATGTAAAAAAAAAAAAAAAAAAAAAGCACAAAGATCCAGTGAACTGAACTTTAAATATTTGGGATAAAAGGTCTCTAAATAACAGGCTGTTCTATAGAATAGAAAGGAGAACGTTTTAAATATTCCCTCACAACATTTTCTAGACAAGGTGGTCGGGATAAAGTTGGTCCATATAACTTTTTTTTGGTTAATATTTTGGGTAAACCTACCATATTTTTGTATGTTTTTTTTCTCTCCATGTTCAAGTATATTTAAATTTTCTTCATGTTATAGACTCAAAATAACCTCTGTAGAGTCACGTGATCCATGATTGTCTCCTGTCCATCTGGGCGGCAGTAATGGGGGTATTGCATTGTTCCATGATGCCAGTTTTGGGTTGGGGTGCATTGGATGGCAGGAATGGGAGTATGGCATTGTTCCATGGTGCCAGTCTTGGGTTGGGGTGCATTGGCATTGTTGGAAGCATGTCAATACTTAGTGCAGTCGTATGAGTAAGGGCTACTATGGCGATATATAGAGGGGGCAGACCTGTATGGGATCTGGCAGCTGGCATTGCTGCCTACCTGGTGCTCTGCCAAGGCTGAACCCTCAATGCCAAGGCGGTGGGAGTTGAACATCTCCCTGACACTGGGGAAAGTCTGCTGTTGGGAGGTGAAGGTATGCCGGAGAGGTGGTTGAGCTCTGCCCCGTGGTTGAGGTACCAGGATGGGGTCTGGCCAGCGGTGCCCCCTTGTTGGTGGTGGCTGGAGGATAGGGCCCCTTCCTGGCTGGAGCTGAGGCTCATGGAGTTTAGGGGAGAGGAGGCTCCGCTGTGGTGGTCTGAGATGCCCTCTTCCAGTGTGGTGGGAAACACACATGTGCCCAGTCCTGTCTGCTGTGTACAGGCTCATGGCCCTCATGCTGCACTGGTAGCTGGCACTGGAATCCATGCCCTGGGCGCAGGCCTGGCTGTAGATGGAGGGCTGGCTCTGGGCATAGTTCAGGGGCAGGGAGGGCACCATACCTGTCCGGTGGGGTACAGAGGCACCGGGCTCAGCTCCCCATGGGGCGAAGTCCTGATTGTCATGATGTTCTCCACGCTGAAGCCCGACAAGCCATTGCTGGAAGGGTGGTGGTCAGGGATGGAGCTGTCGGTGGACACCGATGGGGTAGAGGCTACACTCCTTGGACTATCCTGCATGGCACTGCCACCATCAGGGCTCAGGTTCTCCACTTTGGTGATGACCGGTGAAAGTTCTGGAGACTCGCTCTTGATGACGATCTTCTTCTCATGGTGGACCTCCTTGGACGCCTCCAGGTTGGTGATGCCACCTTGGAGCTTTCCAGGCTCCTTCTGCTGGCGCTCATCCTTGTCCTTGCTGGCATCCTTCTTCTTGAACCTCCTTCTCCTCCTCAAGAAGCTCCCCATTCTCGAACATGTTGTAGGAGTCGGGGTCCAGGGTCCAGTAACTGCCCTTTCCAGGCTTCTTGTCGTCCCTGGGCACCTTGACGAAGCACTCATTGAGGGACAGGTTGTGTCGGATGGAGTTCTGCCAGCCCTGCTTGTTCTCCCGGTAGAAGGGGAAGCGGTCCATGATGAACTGGTAGATGCCATTCAGGGTGATCTTCTTGTCCGGGGCGTTCTGGATGGCCATGGTGATGAGGGCGATGTAGCTGTAGGGTGGCTTGACCAAGTCCTTGGGCGCTGAGGGCTGGTGGTGGTGGTAGGGTCCATAGGACCTGCTCATGCCAGAGGTGTACTGCTCGTGCCCAGGGTACACGCTCATCGGGGTGGGCATGGTGCCATAGGTGCCCGCCGTCCTGTAGTAGTTCTGCTCGCTCAGGTAGGGCACGACCCCCAGGCCATTGGGGTCACCCACGGGAGTAAAACGAGCCTGCATCATCGATGCTGAGATCTGAGAAGGCAGGATGGATGGGGCTCTGGGGTCGCCCTGGAGCTGGAGGACTTCACAACCACAGCCTGGACCTTCAGCTCAGCACCATCCTCAGCTCATGGCCAGGCTAGGTCCACTCCCGGTACCGGTTCTGCCAGGGCAGGAGGAGGGTGGGGGGTGAGAGAAGAAGACTCAAATCTCAGCTCTGCTCTCCTGGACTTCTTTCTCAGCTATGGAAAACTTTTCCAAACTTTTTTCTGCGAGCTAAGCTTTTTACTGGCAGCCTCCACACCCTCTTCCACAACTTCTGGCCAATCAGGGGGCAGGAAGAGGAGCCAGCAGCCAGTCAGCTCGCAGAGACTTTTCCACAGGACTCCAGCACCAAATCCCCTTTTTTTACTTTGCTTATCCAAATATGGAGCAGGCTGGATGGAGCTGAGATTTAAACCCACGGAATAAATAAAAAAAAAAAAAAAAAACAGGGGAAAAAAACAACCTGCAAGCCTGGGAACCCTGCACTGCTTGGCTTACCAGGACATTTTCCCCTCATTCCCACAAAATTACCTTTTTAAAAGTATAAAATGAAAACAATTCAGTCTTTTGCAGAACCCCAAAAATACATATTGGATGATTAAAGTATATATTTAAACAATTCAACCTCCCCCTGAACCCCAAAAATACATATGGTATGATTAATGAATAAATAAAAAAAACATCCAGCCTCCCCCCAGAATCCCCCAAAATATATATTGCATGACTAAAGTATAACTTAAAACAACTCAGCCCTTTTCCAGAACCCCCAAAAATACATGTTGCATGAATAAAATATACATTTAAATCATTCGGCCTCCCCCAACCCCCCCCCCACCCACACACACACACACACAGAAAACACAAACACAACACACACACACGCCGAATATATATTGCATGATAAAAGAATAAATTAAAGCAACCCACCCTCCCCCAGAACACCAAAAATATATATTGCATGTTTTGAAAAATCAAATCTAACTACCCAAACTCCCCCAGAACCCTCTAAATATATATATTGCATGTTTATCATATACAATATAAAAATTCAGCCTTCCCCAGAACCCCCAAAAATATACCGTTTGATTAAAAATATAGAATAAAACAGTTCAGACTTTCCTAGTCCCCAACCCCCCCCCCCCCATAGAAAAAGAATAGAAAAAGATAGAAAAGAAATAGATAGATAACATAGAAAAGATAGATAGATAGATAGATAGATAGATAGATAGATAGAAAGAGATAGATAGATAGATAGAAGGATAGATAGATAGATAGATAGATAGAAAGATAGATTAGAAGATAGAAAGATAGATAAAAGATAGATATAGATATATCATGATTAAAATGTAAATTAAAACAACTCAGCCTATCTCAGAACCCTAAAATATATATTGTATTTTTAACGTAAAATTGTATATACATTTAAACAATATATATTGCATGATTAAAATTTGATTTTTATAATTTTAAAACTGTTAACATTCCACAAATGAAACTTTATTCTCATTAGGTCAGTTCATTAATTACTCCGAATAATAAATACGAATTGCACAATATGATTTTTTTGTACCATTTGAATTATTTTACCATTCTTGGAAACCAGTTGGTAAAACAGTAATGAAGATGTCTTAATTTTTACATTCGTGCACTTTAATTAATACAATTTTTGCTAGATTATTTATTATTATAATATATATTTAAATAAAATGAATACCCTAAATACATCTTGTGGGGTTTTTTTCACTCAAAGTAGATGTTTGATTTTTCTTTTCTCAAATTTCATTAAATGTCTTTTATTGGAGCTTTTGATGTTTCCATTAGCAGTAATTAGATTTGTTAATCAGAGAGCAGAGTCTGGCTGCTAATGGATGAATTTACAGGAATGTTTTGTTTTAGCAAGTACCTGAAAAAATGTCTAAAAAGGAGACCCAATTAAGCCGATTGGAGTTCTTGAATTTAGCAGTCATTTGGGGGGGGTCCAAAAATAATAATGTGCGATCTGCAACTTTGTAATCAAAGTAGAATTAAAGCGGAAACACTCCCGGGAATTAGTTTTTTTAATATATATACATACAATATATAGATAGATGATAGATAGATAGATAGATAGATAGATAGATAGATAGATAGATAGATATACAGATACTGTGTATGTGTATATGTGTGTATATATATATATATATATATATATATTAAAGTATATATATATATATATATTAAAATATAAAAAAAATTAAAGAACGTATATTATATATATATATATATATATATATATATATATATACCGTTCTTTATATTTTTTTTTTTTTCTTTTTACTGGGGTGAACAAAATGAAACATCACGTTGAATTTTCCGCTGAATTGGGTCGAATTTGTAGGCGAGGCAGAGAAGGAGCCTAGGCACGAAATGACTCCCAGATGGAAGTGTGTTTTCAGGGCATTTAAAGTGAACCTGATACTCGTGTTTATTTAATGTAACACTTTCTGTTTTCACATAGCCAGGTTACAGGCGGTGGAGGGGAGTACAGATGATCCCTGCAAATTGCAGAGGGACACTTCTCCCTGGCCATATGCATCCTGGGGGTGGACATTATAGGATGGGACAGAGCTAACCGAAGAGCTTACACACTTTTGCGGATTTCCTATTGCTGAATAAAAATCTGTAGACAGCAACAGAACAAAAATTCTGCACATAAAGCAGGAAAGTTCTGCTATCCACTAAAATACAATACATACAGAGTCTATATATTATATTTTTGTTACTCATTTATATATAAAATATATAATATATCTAAAATATAAAGTTTTTATAAATAACAAAAATATAATATTATATATATATATATATTTTATATATTATATAGTTATTATATATTTTATATATATATATATATATATATATTATAAACACGAATCAACTACATCGACAAAATAAAAATAAGAATTCACTGTTACAACTTCCAGTAAAAAAATAAGTATTTACAATAAATCCTTACAACATGATCATACCCCAATGTCCACCAGTGTTTTACAGATAGGGTAAATTACTGACATAATTGCCCTTTACTATTTTTATCTAAAAGTGTCTTGAGATCTGAGTATTTGCAAAGTATATATATATATATATATATATATATATATATATATATATATATATATATATCTTTAATATAATAAAAAAAATTAAGTAAAAATACATTAAAAAAAATTAATGAGTGAATCAGTACATTCATTGCAGAGATTTATTTATTTATGTTGCATACACGAAGTTGGCAGGGTGGTGCTAGTGAAAGTTTAGTAAACTGGCATTAATTCTGACATGATAAGGAGTTTGCTGCAAGAAGCAAAAGGCTGCGTGGGATGGGGATTTCAGCTTGGTATACAGCGCCACCTGATGTCACTAACCGGCATTGCTGATTGTCATGAATGATTCTAATGGATGTGATGCCATCGTGCGGTTGTTTATGAGAATGCACTAGCAGGGTGTTTGCAGTATGTAAAATACTATCATTATATTGCAAAACTAAAGTCTTATCCTATCTATGATTGGATCAGTGTTTCTCAATCTTTTTTTCAGTCAAAGCACCCTTAAAGATGATGAACAATCCCGAGGCACCCTTTAAAATTATGGACAGTCTTGAGGCACCCCATTCTAAAATGGGGGTGCCTCCAGACTGTCCATAATTTTAAAAGGGAACCCCATTTTAAATGTGAAAAGTTTTATACAACACAGCAACACCCACACATGTAGGGCACCCAACATTAGAAGTGCTTTATTCTTCCATAGCAAATACACTTTTGCACACTGGTACTGACTAGTATTTCAGTGTTTCTCCTCTCCCTCAGTTTTTCTCCATCACTGAGCTAATGTGGCCCCAGCACTGATGAAAAGAGGGCAGGAGAGGGTCAAACTAGGATGCTGTGCAGGCAGCTGACATCCTTCTTATCAACTGATGACATCATTGGTTGTCAGGAAGCCAGCAACTAGAAGGTCGTAATGGTGCACAATGAAAACCTGTGGCTTTGTGTAACTAAAAGGGAAGCTTGTTCCACCTGCTGGCTTGTATACAAGTTTTGGGCAATTTTTAGACATTTTGCCAAGGCACCCCTGAAGAAACCTCAAGGCACCCTGGTTGAGAAAGGCTGGATTACAGGAAGATTACTATCCTAGATTGTAGGCTCCGAGGAGCAGGGCCCTCCTAACTAGGGGCGGACTGACCATTTGGAAACTCGGGCACTGCCCGAGGGCCCGGGGTCAGTAGGGGGCCCCATAAGATGCCCCTGGTACCTTTTTCATAGGCTTTTTTGAGTTTGGGCACGGACACAGGGGCCACATGATCCCCTACTGCCCGGGGGCCCCATGAATTGTCAGTCCGCCCCTGGTAGGGGGCCCCATGAGTTGTCAGTCTGCCCCTGCTCCTAACCCTCTTGTATTGAACTGTATTGTTACTGTATTGTCTCCCTCCATAATGTAAAGCGCTGAGCAAACTGTTGGCGCTATATAAATCCTGTATAATAATAATATATAAATCCTGTATATAATATAAATCCTGTATAATAATAATAATATATAAATCCTGTATAATATAATAATAATATATAAATCCTGTATAATAATAATATATAAATCCTGTATAATAATAATAAATAAATCCTGTAATAATAATAATATATAAAATCCTGTTATAATAATATCTAATAAATAATCACTGATTATAGGTATTGGAG